AGATTTGCAATAGTATTTTCCTTCTTCTGAAAATATTGTCGTATTGATCTTCTTAACCAGAAATTGTCTCTGACAAGCCAGGAATCTTTTCTTTTTTGTTGTTGTTTTTTGTTTTTTACATTTTCTGTTACTGACTTTTATTTTATTTTATTTTCCCGTTTATTTATTTATTAAAGATTTCTGTCTCTTCCCTGCCACCGCCTCCCATTTTCCTCCCCCTCCCCTAATCAAGTTCCCCTCCCTCGTCAGCCCAAAGAGCTATCAGGGTTCCCTGCCCTGTGGGAAGTCCAAGGACCATCCACCTCCATCCAGGTCTAGTAAGGTGAACATCCAAACTGCCTAGGCTCCCACAAAGCCAGTTCGTTCAGTAGGATCAAAAACCCATTGCCACTGTTCTTGAGGTCTCAGTAGTCCCCATTGTCCACTAAGTTCAGCTAGACCGATTTTATCCTGGGCTTTTTTCAGACCCAGGGCAGCTGGCCTTGGTGAGTTCCTGATAGAACATCCCCATTCTCTCAGTGTGTGGGTGCACCCCTCGCGGTCCTGAGTTCCTTGCTCGTGCTCTCTCTCCTTCTGCTCCTGATTTGGACCTTGAGATTTCTGTCTGGTGGGTTTCTGTCTCTGTCTCCTTTCATCGCCTGATGAAGGTTAATATTCAGGAGGATGCCTATATGTTTTTCTTTGGGTTCACCTTCTTATTTAGCTTCTCTAAGAACACGAATTATAGGCTCAATGTCCTTTGTTTATGGCTAGAAACCAAATATGAGTGAGTATATCCCATATTCCTCTTTTTGGGTCTGGCTTGCCTCACTAAGTATAGTGTTTTCTATTTGATCATTTCCATGTTTTTCTTTTTTGTGCTGGCCTGGATCTCAATATGTGTAGCCCAGGTTAACTTGGAACTCACAATCTTGCCTCAGTATCCCAAATACTGTATATAAAGACATACAAAAACATGCCTAGGTATACATATTTCCTGTAAGTAAACATCTACATTCCCACAATTAAGTGAAGAATAGACAAAAAAAAGAAAGAAAAAAATGAAGAAAAATGAATGAAAAGTAATCCAATGGATGGATTTGTTTGATTTGTCAATTTGTTGTCAGGCAACAATAACCATTTCAGGGGTAGCATTGTGCAGTTGTTAATACATGAAACACATTCAATTTGGATATATATTATAGATAATATGTAATGTTTATTTGTTTAATGGATTGAGCAGAGGTACATATCCATAAAAGACAGAACTTAATAAAAATATTTTATAAAAATTTAAAATGTCTATTCATTTCCAAAAAGCAACTACAAACTGTTCCTAATGTTAAAATCTTTAAAACAAATGTACAGTGAAAAGAATTTCTTTGTACTAACACTAAAAATAGTGAATATTATGGGAATATTTTGTTCATAATAAAATTTGCTAAATGCAGGTAATAAAATGAACATGTAGGATATTTTAAGAACTGTGTGACTTCACCCACATTAGCACTATTACTATAAATCTTTTTTTTATTTTTTTAAATAGGAATTTGATTTCTTACATATTATTCTATTTCCTTAACTATACATGTAATATAGGAAGTAATTTGTGGCTTCAGAATTATTGACACATATGTGATTAACAACTCAAACTCTTTTGTTTTAAATGTATTTTGTTGCATTTTTTATCAGTGTTGTAAATGAATGGTGAAAGAAAAGCTGTAGAAATAGTACATTGAGTATAAATGGCAACATGCTATTTGAATATATAAATGACAGTTTTTATTATCTCTTATAGTTTTAGACAATTTATAGAGCAAAAAGGACAACTATAGTGAAATGAAAGCAAATTCATTATAGCACCCTCTATTTTAAATGAGAATGTTAAGTACATTTCCCTACTGTTTTCTGAAATTGCAATATCACTGTAGGTTATTAATATTTTTATCTATTTCACTAGTACCTGCAGAAAAAAACTTTTAAAAGTCTGTTTAAAAAAAATCTTGCAGTAGCAAAAGAGGAGGAAGACATTTTTAGTCTTTGCCACCACCTTTCCTTCATCTCCAGAGTAAATGTCTTTATTTAATCTGTTTTAGAATCCAATCCCTTTGGAACTATTTTTAGTACTTACTGGCATTGTGTGTATTTTCTGGGCAACTGTACCAGATTTATGATATTGACAGTGCTGTGTTATTTATTACCTACCAGTAAGCAAAGAAGTGGTGTTGTACACATGCATGCCTTTGATTCCACAGGATTCTCTATAGGATTAGAGTCTCAAATTTATCATTTTAATCATTTTAGCAGGTTTTTTATTGCCAGCTTGGATTTGCAACTCCAAAGTTTACTTTCTTACTCAAAAAGGAAATATAACTCACAGATTAAATGAAGTATTTTGCTTTAAATGAGATTTTTTAAGTCGATAAAAAAAGTTCTTGACCTTAATTAGAAGTAACAATTTTATGTACTTCTAATCAATGTAATTTATGGCATCAAAATCTAACACAATATTAAATATTTCATTTAATGCCATTTTCTCTGTTTCAACTTTTGGTTGCACCTATATTTGTTTGAGAGATATAAGCGTTTGTATTTCATAAGTAATACCCTGTTCATATATTACAAATATTTACCATTTCTTTACAAATAAATGTTTAAAAAAATATTTTATAACTTTATTCATATTTAACATTTTTATTTTATTTTATTCTTTTTAAAAATAGAAGTTATTTTATAGAGTAATGTTTCATATAATTTTAATAATGTTATATGCAAAAATAGATAAGTATACACATAGTGAATATTTATTTGTCTACATAAATAAGAAAATAACTTTGAGAAAATAACTAGCTCTCCTCCTGTTTGAAAATAAGATCTACATTTTGAACTTATACATTTATCACTTAAACAAGTATTTGATGTGTTCAAGTGTGTTGCATGTTATATCCTTACACATTGTGCATATAAATTTTTTTTTACTCTGTGCTTATTTGCCTTAGTATGTTAAAGCTTAAGTAAGTTACTTAGAGATCTATTTACATTACAAGCATGGAAGGTAGGGAGTTATTTATAGATATTAAAATATTTGTGGAGGAGTATAGTATTATGTTTGTAACAGATTGTGTTTTATACAGCAAAATATTACAGAGGCTGAAATGATGGCTCAGCAGTTAAAAGTGCTTAAGTTGAGAACTCATGCTTGACTCCCAGCAACCATGTCTGGGACTTCCAACTTCAGATGTATCTGAAGATTCTGGCCTCCATAGCACCTACCAAAACAAATACATGTACACATACTTAAAATACAAACAATCTAAATATAAAATGTTACATTTTTGAATCATAGAGTTTGATATGATGGAAGCAATGTAAATATGTTGTCTGCACAAATCTACCACAATAGCTATTAACAACATGGAGCTGTTGAAAGCCTAACATATTTGTACAAAAATAGAAACTGATTTTGAATTGCTTCAAATTTAATAAATTTAAATTTAAATGCTCCATTATATTGAAAATCGTTCATTAAGAAAACACAGGAAATAAATAGGTATGATATGTATCTTGAGCACTATAAAAACTCTTCTTATGATGATTTTAATTTCATTTAAAATTAAAAAAAAAGGAGAGTAATTATGGTTTTGGAAATTTAATCTCATTTAATCTTTCTGAAAAATCAACTCAACTCAAATTTTAGATAAACTAAAATCTAAATATATATGCAGAAAATGAAGAAATATATAAGCTTGATAATTATAATTTTAATAATTTGACTAGTGTATACTTAAATCATAAACTGAAAAGTTGGATTCGAAATGAATTAACTTTGATATTTCTTTGAAACCATATTATATGTTGGTTTCTCCTTATATTGCTCTCATTAAATAATGTTACCGTGTAATACAGCTTCATAACTTTTATTTAAAATCTGTAAGTCCGCTGGCACACACCTTTAATCTCAGCACTTGGGAGGCAGAGACAGAAGGATCTTTTGAGTTCAACGGAGCCTTGTCTACAAACGATAGTGCTAGTACAGACTCAAAAACTTCACAGGAAACCCTGTCTCGAAAAGAAAAGGAAAGAAAAGAAAAGAAAAATCAGTTTCTTATTTTGCTGATGTATATATGAGCCTTAAATACTTTGACAATCATTGATTTTTAGTTACTTTATACATTATTATTATATTAGTTAAATAATTGTCTTACCACCATATGCCCTATACTTAGAGACAAATTCCATGACCACTTTTGAAAGTTACTATTGATATGTCTACAACTAACAGAATATAATGGAGAATCAAGAAAGTGTATAAATTACAATTTTAAGCATTGAAAATTTAAGCCTTCCTAAAATTCTATTTGTATCACATCATAAAAAGTTAATTACTTATTACATGCCCATAATTTTATTTTTGTTAATAATAATAAACATTATGTTTATTAATATTTCACATTCGTATGAAACATTTTTCAAAAAATATGACCTATAAGAAATAATAATTTACCAATCTCTCAGTAAATATAAATAAAACATAAAAACATTTTCTTTCCTATAAAAAGAGAAGTCAACAAAATATAAATAGGATGCTCATTTTTCTTTAATTTATTTAAAAATGTTATATATGTTGTCATATTTAAGTATATGTGTTTCAAATGATAATCAGTGGTAGCTTCATTATCGTGTGAAAGTTCAGGAATAGTCTTTTCCAAACTTCTTTACATTTCTTCTGGAAATGTGAATAATCTATGTAATAAGAATATTTACTATCAAAAATTCTTTGTATTAAATGTATTTAAAAAAAAATTAATAACTTGCTTGTGGTTGCAATGTTAACTATAGGCCAAGTTAAAATTCAAAACAAATTTTTTGGTATCTGTTTCAGAGTCTCTCCTAAATTCCCATGGATCTTAGATATTGGAAATCATTATCAGTTCATGTTTTAGCATAATTTTAATTATAATTTACAATATATGTGGTATTGTATATTAATATAATTTAAATTATCATTCCATATTTTCTAGGGGCAAAATATTTTTGGTCTTGATGTCATTGAAACACCAGAAGGAGACAAGATGCCACAGCTGATTGTTCAGAAGGAGTTAGATAGAGAAGAGAAGGATACCTATGTGATGAAAGTAAAAGTTGAAGATGGTGGATTTCCTCAAAGATCCAGTACAGCTATTTTGCAAGTAAGTGTTGCTGATACAAATGACAATGGTCCAGTCTTCTTAGAGAATGAAATTGAAGTCAGTATACCAGAGAATTCTCCTGTAGGTTCTTCAGTGACACAGCTCCACGCCACAGATGCTGATATAGGTGAAAATGCCAGAATTCACTTTTATTTTAGCAATCTAGTCTCCAACATTGCTAAGAGACTGTTTCACCTTAATACCACCACTGGACTTATCACTGTCAAAGAACAACTGGATAGAGAAGAATCAACAAGCCACAAATTACTGGTTTTGGCAACTGATGGTGGATCAACACCAGCAAGAGCTATGGTTCTGGTAAATGTTACAGATATCAATGATAATGCCCCATCAATTGACATAAGATACATTGTCAATCCAACCAATGGCACTGTGCTTCTTTCAGAGAATGCTCCACTTAACACGAAAATTGCTCTCATAACTGTCATGGATAAAGATTCTGAACATAATGGTAGAGTGACATGCTTCACAGATCATGAAGTTCCTTTCAGATTACGGCCAGTGTTCAGTAATCAGTTCCTCTTGGAAACTGCTGCATTTCTTGACTTTGAGTCCACAAGAGAATATGCTATCAAATTACTGGCTGCTGATGCTGGCAAACCTCCTTTGAATCAGTCATCCATGCTCCTGATCAAAGTAAAAGATGAAAATGACAATGCTCCAGTTTTCACCCAGTCTTTCATAACCCTTTCTGTTCCAGAGAATAACTCTCCTGGTGCACAGTTGACAAAAGTCAGTGCAACAGATGCAGACAGTGGACGTAATGCTGAAATAAACTACCTGCTAGGTTTTGATGCACCACCTGAATTTGACCTGGATCGTCGTACAGGCATCCTGACTGCAATAAAGAAATTGGATAGAGAAAAACAGGAAAAATATTACTTTACAGTTCTTGCACAGGACAATGGAATTCCACCCTTAATGTCCAATGCCACTGTCTTTGTGACTGTTCTTGACCAGAATGATAACAGCCCACTTTTCACTCACGATGAGTACAATTTCTATGTCCCTGAGAACCTTCCAAGACATGGCACAGTAGGGCTAATCACTGTGACTGATCCTGATTATGGAGAGAATTCTGCAGTTACTCTCTCCATCTTAGATGCGAATAATCAGTTCTCTATTGATCCACAGACTGGTGTCATCCGACCAAATATTTCATTTGACAGAGAAAAGCAAGAATCCTACACTTTCTATGTAAAGGCTGAGGATGGTGGTAGGGTATCACATTCTTCAACTGCTAAAGTAACCATAAATGTGGTTGATGTGAATGATAACAAACCTATTTTTATTGACCCTCCTTCCAATTACTCCTATGAATGGGTTCCACCATCCACAAATCCTGGTACAGTCATCTTCAAGGTTGTTGCAATTGACAATGATACTGGCATAAATGCTGAGCTTCGTTACAGCATTGTTGGAGGAAACACAAAAGGACTGTTTATGATTGAACAAATATCAGGTAACATCACATTGAAAGATAAATGTGTTGTTTCAGATCTTGGTTTACACAGAGTGATAGTCAAAGCTAAGGATTTGGGACAACCTGATTCTCTCTTCAATATTGTAAATGTCAATCTGTTTGTGAATGAGTCAGTGCCCAACACTACACTGATTTATGAACTGGTACGCAAAAGCATCGACACACCTGCGACTGAAAGTACTGAAACAACTAATGCATCCTCTCCAAAAACTGACTATGTGAAGATAATGGTCGCCATTGTTGCTGGCACCATAACTGTCATCTTAGTGATTTTCATCACTGCTCTAGTAAGATGTCGCCAATCCCCACACCTTAAAGCTTCTCAGAAAAACAAACAAAATTCTGAGTGGGTTACTCCAAACCCAGAAAACAGGCAAATGATTATGACGAAGAAAAAGAAGAAGAAGAAGAAGAAGCATCCCCCTAAGAACCTGCTTCTTAATTTTGTTACTATTGAAGAAGCAAAGCCAGAAGATGCAGACAATGATAGAGCCAGTGTGACACTAGACCTTCCAATTGAACTTGAAGAGCAAACCATGGGCAAATACAACTGGGGCACTACACCTTCTACTTTCAAGCCTGACAGCCCTGATTTGGCTAGACACTACAAATCTGCCTCTCCTCAGCCTGCATTCCAGATCCAACCTGAAACGCCCCTGAACTCAAAGCACCATATCATCCAGGAACTGCCTCTTGATAATACTTTCGTAGGCTGCGATCCCATCTCTAAGTGCTCTTCCAGCAGTTCTGATCCCTACAGTGTTTCTGAGTGCAGCTATTCAATGACAACCTTCAAGACCCCTGTATTGGTACATGCTAGACCGGTAGGTAATCTACGTTTCTAAGTAATCTTTCTAATTTACTATTCTCATTTTCCCCCCTGATATAGGATTATAAATTGCATTGATTTCTAGGAAGTATCAATATAAATATGAATATATCAATCATATTACACATAATATTAAAATAGGAATATGAGTTCATTTCAATTTGGTAGACAAAGTAAAATGAATGCTAAGTTAGAAAAATATGGCATATACTGATGATTATAATAAGGGTAATTTTTCTATAGGTGGCAGCATAATGTAGATTTCTTGAATACATACTATAAAATTGAATAATAATGATTATAGCACTGTCCGTTTTAACATCTTTTCCACTAGAATCAGAAAAGCCTGGGCTTCTTGTTCCATAGGAAAGCTTTTTCAAATGTGATAAGAGCTCTCAATACAAATGGTTTTGTGAACTCTAGCTTTATGTGGGCTAATATGTAGATGTCTGTGGTAGTTAAATGATATGAACATATCCTCCACCTCTTCCTTTTGAAATTATGTCACTAACTCTCAGCAATGAAGAGTTTTACTTTTATATTAGGAATTCAAAATTATGTTGGGTCATCAAACTTGCTTTCTCATGGTAAAGCTTTAAAATTGTTTAAGAAAGTAGAGGCATGTTCATTCTTATTTTTAAGCCAAAAAATGAAATAGGCAAGCATCTTTAAGTTGGGTTACCAGTTAAATATTTGTATATTTCAAAATCTTTCAGGAAACATTCTTGAAAGATACTGACTTTTGGTAAAATTGAATATGTTTGCTTTGCCTAATGATCACAAATGGAAATAAGAGCATATTAAGAACCTAGAAATCTGTGCACAATAATCTAAAGCCCAATACATTTCTGAAAAAAAAGAGTTTATACACTGATTTTTAAATTAGTATGCCAGGGAGAAAAAATGCAAATTTATCTAGAAATTATATGAAGTAAGTTATTTCTTTAATAAAGTTAAGTGATAGAATTTATCTGATTTTTTTTCTCTAAAAGTCATACTACTGCTGATTTTATTGTTTCAACTGTGTAATTCAGTAAGTTAGTCACCTCATCTGCATTTAATAGATATTTTTAACTTATTCAGACTTAATATATTGGTTACAAAACCAAAAATATATTCCTTTTCATTGAAAGTTTCTCATACTGACTGAAAGAAGTCTATCATATTCAAGAAACAGTGAAAATAACTGATTATAATTTGAGGAAAAGTTTGAATAATAAAGATCATTGAGGATATATACAATTAAAAATAAGAATGATATTAATGCCTTTCTCTTAATAATACACTGGATGCAAAATATTAATTTCACAATAAGTCTATTTTTACTGTAAAAGACCCATCATTCCATAATGTTACAAAGATAATAGAACCCTAGTCATTGTGTAGGAATCCTGCTATGCTTTGAATGAAATAAGACTGGTTTTTACAGTTCTGATAAGTTCCATGATTCTTTACTACATCATTGACAAATGTAGTAGGTGGTCAGTATCTTCAGAGTGTGTTTTTTCATATATTTAACCATTCAAAGGGAACTCTACATTTATTTATTTATTTATTTATTTATTTATTTATTAAAGATTTCTGTCTCTTCCCCACTGCCGCCTCCCCTTTCCCTCCCCCTCCCCCATTCAAGTCCCCCTCCCTCATCAGCCCAAAGAGCAATCAGGGTTCCCTGCCCTGTGGGAAGTCCAGAGACCACCCACCTCCATCCAGGTCTAGTAAGGTGAGCATCCACGAAACTGCCTAGGCTCCCACGAAACCAATAGATACAGTA